TTTTTTTTTTTTGACGCTAGAGTCCTATTTTCAGTCATTGAGCAAGTTACAGTTCTTTGACAGTTCCGGCTGAAAAATAGGGCATTAAATAAAACATGACAGAGGACTGTGGCAGAATATCTATGAAGTGGAGGATTCCCGTCGTCCTCTCTCTGCCCCTGAGCTGTTTCGTACGGAAGATTTGCCGCCGTTTCCTGTTGTCGGGGAATGAAAGACGCGCACATGCTCTCCTCGATCCGTCTCATGTCACGACGATGTGTACAGTTTTTTTTTGTTTTTTAGAAATAACGCTACAGCACTTCAGCTGTGACCTCCTTTATTCTGGCAGAGAATCCACTCGCAGAACTCGTTCTGTTATCAGGGTCCTTTGTTATCTGTGGAGCTTTTTGTTTTTCCGAATAAAACGGCGGCTTGGGTTGTTTTTTTTTTCTCATAAGATAACACTTTTTTTTTTTTTTGGGGCAAAATTCACTCTGTGCGGAGGGTTTGAATCAGACTTTGGTATCGATTTTGGTAACAAATTGCTTTAGTTTGAGTTTTTGTTATGCATCTTTGTACTTTGCAGTTTTTTATCACAGTTATAAACAACAAACAATCAGCGAACTTAACAGTGTAGTCCGTTCCGATCTCATTCGTATTCTTCTTTCGTCCCTTCCCCCCCGAAGCTATCCTACACTGACGCGGATGGAAAAGAGATAAACATGGTACAGATGACCTTCCTTAGACTACTGACGGCCTCGGCCAGGCAAAACTTTACCTACAGCTGCCACCAATCCGTGGCATGGCACGACGCCACCAACGACAACTACGACAAGGCGCTGCGATTCCTGGGCGCCAACGACGAGGAGATGTCCTTCGACAACAACCCTTACATCAAGGCCGTTAAAGACGAATGCGCGGTAAGTCGTCTGTTTCTAACATCGTTTTAGGTCACCTCAGTTTTCCGACATTTGTTCGACAAGTTTATAGGATGTCAGAAAATTACGTTCCAGATCCATCGGTGAATGTCTCTTGATTTGTGGGACACATTTTTCTGACTGGACAAGGGCTAGAAACCCAAGGCGGGCTAACGGCTTCTCAAGAATATCGTACCCTTCGTTTTTGTCTCGGTAACTGTGGCTAAACATTAAGGAATGCCTAGGTTCTTGTCATGCTCCGAAACAATCAGACCCACAGGTCGTAGTCCATATGGGATTACATGATCGTGGTACAGTTCCTTCGTTTCAGACACTCTACGTTTAATAAATCCTCCACCTGCAAAATATCGATATCCCACCTACGACTGCCTTTGCGATCAAACTTCTGTAGGTCCAGAGAACCAGAGAATAATTTATCGGGATCGTAAATCGGAATGCCTCATAAGTCATGATTTATCAGGAACTGTTGAAACCTCTTGGATGAGAGGTGAAACGTCTTCAAGAAACCTACTCCGTCCAGTTGCCTTTGACGTAGCTATTTTCGTATAAGATGATCCGGATGAGACAGGATCATTTAACATTCGTAAATACGACTAAAAAGTACTTTTCTTGTTGTCATCGCTGAGACAGCGATTACTATGTATCTACGTATAAAGTAGTCCGTAGAATACCTCGAAACCGTCTTTCCCTCAGTATGCACCCGTGCGTAAAAAAAAAAGGCGTTAAAATATTTAACCTGATTCATTATCATTAATTATTTAACGCGATCGATACAGCCAAAACTTTTTGTCGTCCCCCGATCGACAGCCCTTCTGACCGTCCCCTTCTCGGACGTCCTGTTTTGGAGGCCATAGATAACGAGATTAGCGCACTCCAATCAGGCTAGTGTTGAATGCTGTGGATTGATGAGTCCGAAAAGTGCGCCCCGAGAATCAGCAGTTTCTCCATTGACGAACCTCAGGAAGCGATTCCTGGCACATACTTTAAATGAATTCCCCTGCTTTTTTTTTGTCGAAGCCAGAAGTGCAGAAAGGAATGTCCTTTCTTTATCAGTAAAGTCAATTAAAAGTTCTTCCATTTAAGAGAGTTAGTCTGCTCTAGACTAATGTATAGGAACAAACACAACGCAGTAACTGCCCCCACTCGCGGCATTACACCCCCATCACTAAAGTACTAACCTGACTTCCACTCGCGGCATTACACCCCCATCACTGAAGCACTAACCTGACACCAGCTATTGGTCCGTTTATTTCCTCATCTTCACTATATCCTTTCTCTCGCCTTACAGATCAAGAAGGGATACGGAAAGACTGTGATGGAGATTAACACTCCCAAAATTGATCAGGTGCCAATCGTGGACGTCATGTTGACTGACTTTGGGGACCCTAACCAGAAGTTTGGGTTTGAAGTTGGGCCCTTGTTCCCTTGGTTAAAAAAAAAAAATAAAAAAAAAAAAAAAAAAAAAAAAAAAAAAAAAAGCGGAAAAAGGAGACAAAAGGACTTGATGGGGCCAGCAAACAAAAGTTTTTTTTTTGGATACCACCCTTTTCTTGCCCCTAACCCTTTTTCTATGCCACATGCAAGTTTTGAGTAAGAGATGGTGTAGCAAACAATGTCTTTTTCATGTGTGTACATGTAATCCGGGAGAATACTTGTTGCCCTTGTAGGGCTCAAACCGCACGACTTTAACCACATCACAGAGCCAAGGTGAAGGACATAGGAAGAAGACGTGGCAGGGTAGGGTGAATGGGAGTGACCTAAGAGAGGGGGGGGAGGGGAGGGGGGCACACGCGACGCCTCCTTTCTGGATTCTCACGGTGCTGTATGGAAGAAAAAAAAAAAAAACGACTACAATGGTGCTTGTTTAAAACACTCAAAAAGTATAAAGAGGTGCTAAGAAAGAAGGTGTATTTTGAGAGTAATATTAAGATTAAAAAAAAAAGAAAACCTGTAATTATTATTATTTTGTACAATACTGTCATTTCTGAATCCACTCTCAAAACTTGCATGTGTACCAGACACAGCTGCCGGCTGCTTCGCTTCATCTCTTTGTCTCTCACACGCACGCGGCGCAATTCGACGTTCAAAAAGAAACCCCTTCAACTTCTGGTGTTTTTTTTTTTTTTTTTTTTCCCCTTCAACCCCCCCATAACTGAGTGTATCTGTCACAAAGGAAATAAAGTGAGCATTCAAACGATTTCCCCGGTGCTAATTCAGACTGTACGCCCATTGTGTATATATATATTGACGGTTCCTCGTGTGCGCGTCCCCCCGTGACCGTCGCAGAAACATCTGGAAGCGTCACACCGGCGCGAATTAGCCGACGTCTCTCCCCCGCTGTTGTTCAGATCCCACGCCATTAAGGAGCCAATCATGAGCATTCATTTTCCTTTATTTAATTCTATTTGCTGTTTTAACTGTTTTTTTTATTTCTGACAGGCTTTTAATTTTGGTTGTATACCTCAAACTTTCTTGATAACTTTTTTTTTTTTTTTTTTTTTCTCGTGCAAGGATGTTATGCCCTGTATATACCTTGGTTAAGCAATTAAGTTTATATATTTCGGGTGGGGACTTTAAAGAGAGAAATATGTTACTGTTAAAAACATCCACTGTTCAAATCCTTCTGTGAATACAATGATTCTCCCCCCCCACACACACACACACACACACCCTCCTCCTCCCCTTTAGGTGACCCAGTTTGTAACTAAAATGAGAAAGTGTTTTAATGTGCTCTTTTATAGTTCATTTAAATATTAAAAAAAAAAACTGGATTCAGTGAACACGATGTCTCGATGCTTGATGTTAAATGACTCAGTAGATGGAACGCGTGCGGCCGAGATTTATCATCAGGGATGTGTTAATTTGGGGCCGTTGTTATTTTCTTTTTCCCCCCACTCTCCTGGAACCAATAAAGTACCTTACAATTATTTCCTTTTATATTCCTGAGTGTGTGAATGGAAACACGAAGGAACGGGCTCCCTTTGTTTGCCGCAGACACACGAAAAGGAGTCACTCTTCCTCCAAACTGCTTCTGCATTTGACGCGTCTGAAAAGGACTTGGCTTTAGTCTTAAGAAGAACAAACCGATAAGTGTTGCTTTGAACGAGCACAAAAGAGGGAAAGAAAAAAAAACACGTGGCGCTCGTTACTCACAAAGGAGCAAAAGTAATCTCGGCGTGTGTGAAAAGCAACATGTGAATCTGTTCGAATATAACAACAAAAAATAATTCTGTTGCCGTAGCGGCACGCGGATGGACTTCAATGCACTTTTTTGTGTCTTTATTTTTTTTATTTTTTTGTTGTTTTTGTACAAAACAGCGTGCTACAAATGGAGTGAGGAATAAGGGTGATGCAAAATTTAAAACGCGTGTTTGACTGGAGTGCAGCAGAGGAGAGAAGGAGCGTTTATTCTGAAGAGTTCAAACAGACTTGGAGCTACTGTCATGGAAACGCAGAACAAATAGACTGCGATACGACCACTCTTTTAGGCACAAATAAAATCAATTCTTTTTTTTTCAGATTTGAGACACACGTCTATGAAACGAGGAAGAAAACATGAAATAAAACACAAACCACAAACCTTTGCGATTGAAGTCGATAGACATAAGAAACATGATGCGAGATGACCCACCCCCCCCAAAAAAAAAATTTTGCGACCCACCTGCGGGTCGCAACCCAGTCTTTTGGAAATAATGATCTACACCAATGATATTAAGTGACACAGTGGTTACATCATAATTTAGGACATAAAAACATCTGAAGAGTCTGACATACGCTTCGGAGCCATGAATGAAGGACGAGAAGGTCCCAAAAAAGCAACACAAACACAAACCGAAAAAAAATTAATGTAGCACAATCCAATATACGGCGTAAATAAATCATCTGCGTATAGAGCCGCAAGACCATTTGTCTGCCGCACTCGCAAACTAGTTCCCATACATCGGAATGATGGAACAAAATTTTCTTCAATCAATTTATGGTAAACTCCGACGTAACCATGAAACGCTGTAGGTCGAGGATTTCTATTCCAATACAACTGTCGGCATTTCCTTCCTGTCGGAAAGCCCCAAATCACATGAAATGTTACCGCCCTGGATTGTTTAAAACGGCGAAAACGCTGACAGGACCGTGTTTAGAGGAGACTGATGGAAAGGATGTCAGACTGTCAGGTGTGATTGATTGTGTGGGGGGGGGTAGGGGGACAAGAGGGGGATTGCAAAAATAAAAGTCCTTTCGACAACGTGGATGTCTAGACACTGAAAAAAAAAAAAATACAAAAGTTACCTCAACATTATGGCGTTTAACTTTTTTTTAACGCCTCCCTATACCTTAACGCTACGTCCCCGTGAGGCTAACATTCAGGTCACCGCAACTTGAAACGACAGCACTTCCCCTGTGCGCAACTATTACCTTGAATCTTGTACGGCTGGGTGGCGGATATTATCTGCGTACAGTATGTACATAATTACAAGGACATGATGCCCAGGGAGCGCTAAGCCTCTAGAAATACTCCCCGGTTGCCTCACAATAGTCGAAAGAAAGAACCCAAATTGCTCTTTGATTCCTCAGGATCAGAGGATCTGAAAAGATTACGCAGCAGCACGGGGATTCCACTGTGGCCTTAGAGTCACGCGGTGGCCTTTAGAAGCGACTCGTCTGAGACAAGAGAAAAGCAATCTTCCATTTGGGGCCAGCACAGTACGTTTAAGCCCTACTTTGAATCATCTTGACCTGCAGCAGGTTACGGACGTTTGTTGTAACAAATATTACAGGTGAAAACTGACGTAGCCTGACATGTATTCAAATATGTTTAGGTGGTAATGCAACAGGGCGGTAACAGAAGCACGTCGTCGTCGAAGTGGCAAAGGTCGAAAGTGCATATAAAAAAAAGAATTGCGATACAAGCATCTTTTTTGGAAAGGCTACAACAGCCAATCGCTATCGTTCTTTTCATTAGCAAAAGCTAAGATGTTAATGTATGGAGTGTTACATAGTCATTGCTGGACGTGTGTGTCCAATGTGGAGTTCCTCCTCTGTTAAATTACTTGCGGACCCGACTTTGATCAAAGTCACGGACAGGTTTTTGCTCAGTGTGATAGCATTCGACAGTAGAATTGTATGATTTATTTTTTTCCATTTGTGGTTAGCTCTGTGCTTTTTTCCCCCAATCTTTTCAGACGCACCTTGTAGCCGTTGTGGTTTATTACACTGGCGGTGCAGAGAGGGTGGGTTGATAGCTCCCACCCTCCAGCTAGAGCACGACTCAAAGCTTTTTCTCTTGAATTACCCACCAGCTACTTTTTCTCCCTAAGTCTAGTATACGTATAAAATTTCAAACATAGCAGGTTTTTTTTCTCACCAATATCAGCATCAAATGTAAGGGTAATATTTCAAACTTCCTGAATCGTAATTATTTTTAAAAAATAGTTTTAAAAGCAACTCATTGTGTTGTGTCAAGATCTCACATCAGAACTAGCAATGCGGTTTTTAACAATTTCAAGTGACTACTTTTCAATTCCTGGCTACCCAACATAGGGTTGCGACCCATATGTTGCTTTAATTATGATTCATCATTATAATATTTATTATAACAGAGCTATCAACAGAAAGAAATATTATTATTAATAATTTTCTGTCAGTTTAGCCTAGCTTCTTTTGGTTCAACAAACATTCAGAACGACAGACCAATTAAAAAAAAAACAACAACAACACTGAATTTCTGTGACCAAATTATTGTATTTATATAAACACACGGGCGTTTCCTCCTCCCACTCAGATTCTGAAATCACCATATTAAAAATTACAGTACGCAACGTACGTCATAGGCGGAGCTTATGTTTGCCGGGGTGCAGGACTGGCACTTCCTCCCCTATTGGCTGAAATATGTCACGCCATTAAGTCTATTATACGGCCAATACAAATATTTATTTTTATCAAATGTAATAATATTAATAATATGATAGTATTAATTTAAATATTTCAATAAAACAAAAGCATTATACGTAATGAATAAAATGAATCCTTTTATATTTTATTTTGTAATAAATTCGTTTTTGAGTACTCACGTGACATTGTGACGTTGACGGTTTCCCTCTCATTTTAGCATTCAATCGTTCGTTTATTAATAGGATAGCTATCACATCCTACCAAAAATGGATATTCAGGGCAGCCTTCTTCTTTTTGCCTAGCATGTTGCTAATAACCGGCGTCGGAGCTTTCACGTAAATCTTTATTGACAACTGTCAGTAGACAGGACAGTCAGCAGGGGCCGACGGGCCGTTTTCACCCGCGAAGTGTGAGCTCTCTACAGTGTGAGTACATAAATCGTGAGCTTTGGTCGTATATCGTAGGTGATTACTCGTACAGTGTGTGATTGTATCGACGACAAGCTTTTCAAAAATTTGTATGCCCGGCCTTAAGCAAGATCCGCACTGATCCTTCATGTGACCCGGATCAGGAAACACCCGGGACTAGCCCTGGAATAGCAATTAGCCTAGCTAGCTCCACACCACACCTAGCACCGGGGCCGCCGCCATTGGGCCAATTAGCCCATAGCAGAGCCGCCACCAAAGTATTATTTTTGTAGAAAGTTCCATAAGGGCAGGTTCTTATGGAATTTTCTACAAAAATAATTACAAAGACAAAACGACAACTTTACATTGCGACGTTTACTTCTGCACCAGGTAAGACACATTATTTAACGTAATGTGTAAAATGGGGGAGGCTTGGTACCGTTGTCTGTATATGTGTACGTAATAGCCTATGTCCAGAATAGTCACAATGTACAGCGGTGTGGACAGTAAAGCGATAATTTTATTGTACAGGGCAATGTTTTTCCTTACTGTACACATGACAATAAGCACTTTGAATTTTTAATTTAGTGCCATGGCTTTAAAATGCCCCCGACGCTAAAGTCAAACTCCGCCTATGGCGTATGTACAGTATAGTTCGCGCGGTAAAAACCCGTGGACTTTTTTCAAACAACTTTACTGTAGAACATAAACAGCAGCGATGCTCCCTCACATGACAGATGGCTCATCACTATCTGTCATTTTTTACTATTCCTATATGGCCTGCAAACCAACCTGGGGCATTAAATATGCAGGCAGGCTGCTTGGTCAGCAAATATCAAGACCGAGTGGCAATCACTTTTAAAGCACGGGGGAGGGGGGGTAAAGGGGGAAACCTTCACTTCCTGGGTCTTCCCTTTGGCTCCTCACTGTCTTTACTGAAAGTACACACATACTGTGGACTTACAGTAACAACAGGGGTAAGATATTTGGAAGGTACAGACTAATGTGGCTGCTCCCACCGAGGCAGAGAAGTGAAATGACTTCTTCAATAACTCAGCTTTACTGTTGTGTCTCTGAGTTGTCTCTGCTGTGGGATAGCTTTTATTCTCCTATTCTGCTGAGTCAAGCTGGCTCTGATTAGGAAATATCCAAGGGGGGGGGGCATTAGTCTGTGCCTCCCAAATATTTAACCCTGATATTACACAGTATGGAATGTTTGGTCCAGATTAGAGGGAACTAGTTAAAAAATAATCCATAAACGCATATTGATCTATTTCTAAATCTTTATTTGAAAGCTGTCATGTGACACTTTTTATGCTAATTCTACATTGTTGTAGCCTCAACATTAAGGATGTGACTTCCCATTTTGTCCACAGGTTTACCGATGTTTCCTGCACCGCCACCACCTTTTTATTCACCAGTCGTGGTCTTAAGCTCCACGTCCCTTTGGCAGCATCTTCAGGTTGTTGCTCCTTACGTGGAGCTTCTCCTACTGGAGCTGCCTGGCCTCCTGCAGATATAACAGATTCAAGTCAAAACAAAGGAGAAGAACTGAACGACCGAACGACACTATTGGTCCATTTCAGCGCTTCTCTGATCAAATAATTTCTGGCTAACTGGCAGGTATTTCTGTTATGCTAACTGTTCCCGAACTGTGCGGCAAGGTTTGAGCTTTTATTGCCACATTATTTGGCATAATTTAGCTAAAATTCTGCAGGACATTTTAACACTAATGCTAAGTTAATTTAAGGCTATTTTCTAAATAATTAAATATAATAATTTATTTTTTATATTCCCAATATGTTTTTGACAGTTTCTCTGGCAAAACTCCCTAATATTAGCTCATATTCTTGGCTAATTATTAAGAACATTAACTAATTTTAGGTTGAATTTATAAATAAATTATAGTCTTGCTTGTTTTTAGTCATATTTTAACATGTTCAGATATGACGTTTTTCTGTTTGTTTTTGTTTTTTTTTAACAAAGTATTCACTTGGCAGCATGTTTTGGGCATAATTAATTCTGAGGGATTTCTGGGACTCCTTCCGGGCCTTGAGTTTGACACATTTACTAGATCAACAGTGACCTTGAACCTTGCAATTGTGTGTTTGTTGTAGGTGGCCAGGAGGAGGCCATGGCAGTGACCACGTCTTCAACCAGGATTGGCAAATTTGAGGCCAGGTGAGCATATATACACATATATATGTATATACACGTGTGTGTATATATATATATATATACACACACATATATGTGTGTATATATATGTGTATGTGTGTGTGTATATATATATATATATACACACATATGTATGTGTATACATATGTATATATATACACACATATAGATATACATATGTATACACATACATATGTGTGTATATATATATATATATATATACACACACATATATGTGTGTATATATATGTGTATGTGTGTGTGTATATATATATATATATACACACACATATGTATGTGTATACATATGTATATATATACACACATATAGATATACATATGTATACACATACATACATATATACATATATACACATATACAGTATATACATATGGGGGGGAGAGGAGGGGGGAGGAGAGAGAAGGGAGGGGGGGTGTTATCAATTTCTGGAAATAAATGCAGTCCACACACCATATTCCAACAACTGTCTTTATTCTGGAAGGTTTACAACAATGAAATACAGATCACAGTTAAAGTGCAAAGTATCTAACAATGAAGGTACAAACGCAAACAAATGTGACAGTGAAATACTCACAAGTCCACCAAACAAGTGATCTGCTTCAAGTACAGTTGCTCCTTCACGAGTCTTCTCCTCCATTGCATCAGTCAAAAATACGATTTAATCCAAAAATAGTTACATCGGGGGCAACTGGACGAAGTAGGTTTTATCTCTCACAACAGGGTGAGAGGTGAAACGTCTTCAATAAAACCTACTTTGTCCAGTTGCCCTCGATGTAACTATTTCTGGAACATTCAAAAACTGTGTTCCAAAACTTAGTTGTTTTGGAATAATGTTAACTATTTACAACATTTGTACAGCACATTTGTATTTGTCTTGAAATAATTGATCTACCAAATAAAATGAAGTTGTGTTTCACACTGATTTTTGAGTTTTATTTGGTTAATTACCAGAGTTAACTGAGTGTGGAGAAGTTGGATCCTAGATAAAGGAGGTGATCAGAAGGATTGTGGGTATCCTTCCCCCTCGTCCCCTGGCAGATGATGACTGGGCCTGGTCAAGCATGACAGGAGCGTGGTTAAAAAAGTCAATGACTTTACTGTTACTTGCTTAGCAACAGTTTAAACAGGTCAGGCTTTATTTAGGTCAAAATTTTCAACCCCAAGCTCTGTGGAAGTAATTAAAAATGAAGCCACACTGCATACATTAGCAGTAAATATACACCTTTATGCACTGGAAATGTGTAACTACGAAGTGCATCTGTTCGTAAGGGGTTCTAAACACACATCTTCTTCAAGTAGCCTTTCTGGTCCTTCTTTAATATAAATGGCTTCTCATATTATTTCCTTTCAGACAGCCTTTTGGTCGGAGTCTTCACTGCTGCCGTAGGAGCTGTCGCAGCACTCAGCCACGTACAGAAATGTGTGAATGTTGGGATTCAGCTTGGGAACCCAGTGGTGAGGCACCAGGAACGTTGCCAGGTTGAAAAGGTCCACAAACACCTTGTAGCGGTCACTAAAAATACATGAAAACATCCAATATTTATCTCATGCTCTGTTCCAGTAGTGTCCACTAACTGTACTTTTTACAGGACAGACGAGGAGACTGATGCTAACACTTCTAGTCAAAGTCTAGTCATTTATCCATGTTGCTAGTTGAATAATTTCCGTTGTCACGTCACTTCATATGTCTATAGGTTTTTGCTTTTTCCACTTTCTGAGCAATTTGTTAGCAACAATTAGCCACGTTTGCTTTAAGATTGAGCTTTTTTTGGCTAAATTGCAGCTATTTTTTTAAATTAATATTGGTATATCAATTAAAAATACTCATACATTGTTCTGTACCTTTTTTTTAAACAATTTGGCCCATACCATTCTAGTTTGGACTAATATAATCTGTCTGACATTTAATCAGTGATTGCTTATAAAAGGACATGCAGTACATTATAAAAGTAACTGACTGTTATATTTGCTCTAATCCACATCAATTCCTAACCTTATCAGTGTTTCCCTGTATTGAGTTCTTATCTATTCTGACCCCATAGTCTTTATAATAGCTTTATCTTGAGCAAGTTAGTTACAGTACAGTGGGGAACCTGACAGTAGATCTCAGGTAGTGGTATCCAGAGGATCCTCCTGTTCCAGCTTTGCTGCCAATCATACGGTGAACCATACAGACGTGATTGTCTGAAACAGAAAAAAGAGAAAATGAGTAAAATGTGCTGGATGTTTGTAGACAAAGACTTAGTTTCATATGTGTTGAAAACTGTAGTATTTCACCCACATCTCCATTTGGTCATTGGAGCATCCATATCCATGAGTAATGTGAGCAGCTGGAAGGGAACCTGGAATCTTGGCTCCTCCCTGAAACCTAGGCCATGAGAGATTTTTATTGTGATGATTTATTTTTAGTAATTCCCATTGGTTTTGAGTATTCTTGGTATTTCTACTAAAATTCAACAAAACATTTTAGATTCAATGATTTATGTTATGACAGGTAACAATTGAAAAGTAATGAGAAAAACACTTAACCTTA